GAGTTGATGTGCTTTTGCTTGTTTTTTGGTAAATGAATGTGTTGGTGGGGAACTGGGGGGGGGGAGGGGGTTTCTGGGTGGTCCCCCTCGCGGCTTTCTCCGCAGCCTCCAAAAACTTTTATTTCCCTCGGCGAGCGCTTCCAGAAACGTCCAAGCGTCAACCCTAAAAATCCATAAAATCTACCCTTCCAGAGTGGTCAAATTTGGAAATCGTTTCTGCCACGTACGATTACAGCCCACAAAACATCATCATTTTTTTTGAAGAAAGTGACCAGATGTCCATGGACGGAGTTTTACAGCTCATCACGCAATCCCACTGTTTGGATCCAAATATATCTGGACATATGGCCTTTCAAAGAAAGAGTGCCAGGAGGTGAAAATTTGCTCAAATGGTCTAATTTGAAAATGACAAAAATCGATCTGTAGAAGGTAATTTATCTCAAAAAACACTCTCAGTATGGCTTTGGGACAAGGCAGTGTGATGACCCACAAGCCAGGCCACAGGCCAGGCCACACCAATTGCCGTAGGTAGCGCCACCAGAACAGAATAAAAGCTCGCCGTCGCTCGGCCCGCTGGCGCGAGACAGGCGGGGGCACGAGGCTTACTTCGTCACAGGTTATGCGCCCCTATGCAACCACTGCCCCCACCAGTCCACCACAACATTTCACCGATCTCAGCGCCCACAATCCAACAAACAACAAACACACAACACGAACAAAGCGCGCTAAACAACGCGCCATCAACAAAGAAATCAACGAACACATCAACCAGCTACTACGCCAAACACAACTCAACGAAGACGATCAACATCAACCCAAAGACACAACACAACAGCGCAAAATGAACACACTCGAACAACTCCCCAAACTCAACGACACCAACTACACGTACTGGTACGACGCCCTCCAACTCCACGCGAGGACGATCGAAGCCGCACACATTCTCGAAACCGACCCAGCACCCACCACAGACCCAGCGATCGCGCAGCGACACGCCAAACAAGCCGACCAGCTCCGCAAGCTCATCATCCCTAGCCTCCCGCCCGCGATCGTAGCACTCCTCCCACCCACCATTCTCCGCGAATCCCCCCGCCACATCTGCACCCTACTCTGCGAACACATCCACGACGCGCATATAGAAACCCACGAAGTCCTCGACGCCGAGGCACGGTCTAACAAACTCTTACCTGGCTCTGATTTCTCTACATTCGTCGACAAACACATATCAATCCGTCAGAAAATGGTCAACGCCAACTACCCCAACATTGCGCAAGAAAGGACAACAGTCAACTACATGATACAGGGAATCAGCAACCACCCCGATCTCGGCCTTGTCGCTGTAATCCTTGCGGGCACACCACCCGCATCTATCCGTCAGTTCACCAACCATGTCCGCCAGGTAATGCTCATGCAAAACAAGCAACACAACACCACCGCACAACAACCCGCATTCCCCAAACAGACACAACAGCTACCGATCATGCCCCATCAACGACCCCAGCGGCAGTACCAGCCACGCCAACCCTACCAGCAAACACCGCAACAACGTGCTAGCCGCCCGAGGCACACCCTACAACAGACAACAACAACAGCAAAATAAACCCCCATCACCTCCAACACCACCACGCCCCAAGACCACACCACTCACCTCCAAACCCCCAAACTTGCCCAAAGCAACACACCGCACCAAACCAACCAAAGTCAACATACCCACACCATCACCTCACCGTATCAGAACAGCGGCACACGAGCCGCCAACAACACCACCAACCGCAGCGCGCAAACAAATGCACGAATGGCACCTCAAGCTTGGGCACCTACGCCCCAGATCCATCGCAAAAATGGCCAAACATGGATTAATCCCCATCCTTCTGCGCACACTGCAAACCAACCCACCCAAGATATCCTGCTCCGGTTGTATCGATGGCAAGACGGCCGCCAGCCCCCACAAATGTGCGGTGCATACGACCGCTGCAGGGCAAAGCCTGTCATCTGATGTTTGCGGTCCCATATCACCACCATCCATGCAGAACAGCAAATACTTCATGACCATCCTGGATACAGCAACACGCTACCTAGTAGTAGCATTCCTCTCCACCCGCGCCCAAGTACCCGCCAACCTCACCACAGCCATCGAGTCCATCGCGAGCTCAACAGGCAAATACTCGCACATCGTAACAACCGACAATGCAAGGGAGTACACCTCCAAATACGTACAACAGTTTCTATCTCAGCGAGGCATCAAATTCAAGCCCTCCACCCCCTACACACCCCAGGAAAACGCACTCGCTGAGCGGATTAACAGGACCATCATGAACTCAGCTCGCGCCGCACTAACACACAGCCAGCTACCCCAAGCGTATTGGGAAGACGCTGTACGCGATGCTGTATTCAAGTACAATCTAAGCTACCATCACGTAGTACAAAACCTCCCACATACCCTATGGCATGGTTCGCCGCCGGCGATCGCCAACTTCTTCATCTTTGGTCAACTCGGCTCGGTCCCCATCCTCAAAAACCCCAAACACAAACTCCAAACACGCGCGCACACAGTGTGACACATGTACGGCATAGATGTCACACATATCAAAGTCTACAACCTGGCCACACGCAACTACCAGACTGTACGTG